GTTTTTTTTTTTTTTTTTTTTTTTTTTTTTTTTTTGCAAGGGTTTGTTTGAGGCCAAGGAAAACAAAAGTGGCAGACTGTTTCTTATAGCATAATGTATTTTTTAACAGTCACTGGGACCTTGGAGCTCTTGGGTGAATTCTGATGGTACAGCATCCACAAAGCTTTGCTCTGCCTTGCTTGGCTCCAGAACTTACCGCATGGTCAAAAGCGACAGAATTAATGACCATAAAGTTTTCCAGATGGTATTTGTATGGTGTGTAGTTCCCATGCCAGGCTACAACGTTGAAGGGGGAGAAATCCTATCGAAACAATAGGGACAGAGAGAACGTTACCACACACAACTCTCCACCTTTTGGCATACACACAGGGTGCTGCCCCTTCTCAAGTTAAAATGGTTTTAGTGCTGGTGATAAATGTACTGACAGCCTGGAGCACAAGGCCCTTCATGCTGCAAGGACGTGGCTTTCCTCAGCATTCCCACCTGGAGAGCTGTAGCTCTCCCTTCAGAGCTCCATCTCTGAAGAAGTTCGAGTGCCAAAGCAGTGCTTGAACAAGGTGGACTCCAGCACTGGCTCTCCAGCATTATAAATTTGCATTGGGTTTCCCTATCTGTTAGAAACATGGGTATATAGAAATAAGGAGGCCGAGACCACCATTGAGTCTTTGGGTTAAGCAAGTTTCCATGGGCTGTTTTTGCAAATTGAGGAGACTCAGCTGGGAGATAAAGGAGCCAAGGTGAGAGTTCAGTCCTATTCCATTTCACCAGCTCAATGTCCTGAGACAACATGCATGCTAACAAGCTGTAGAGACCACGTTATGCACAGGTGGGTGCTCTAGTTGTTTTCCTGTGCCCTCCTTACCTGCTGGGCTGCGAACAGCTTGCCCTGGTACTTGCTGATAACTGTGTAGCCCCCTGGAATTTTCCGGTCCTCATACCATGCTACTGGCACCAAGAAGTCACGTGGGTTCGCCAGGCCATTGGCTCCTGCAAAAGAAAGAAATGTCAAAGCATGCTGGGCAACCTGCTATCAGAGCTCTGTGGGTGCCCTTCTGCACTTGGACTGACCACACTTCTGAGTCCATCATGAAATCTCCAATATTCGTGTTCCTCGTTGGCTCCTATAAGTAGATAATTTTAATATATCCTAGCATTTAGGTCCATGCTCCCTTATGTGACTGAGACAAGTCTCCCTCCCTTCTTTCCTAAACAGCATTCAACCTCTATTAAAGGTGTGTAGATATTGGAAATTAAGCAAAAAAAAATGGAGGGTGAATTGCTCTCTGTTCCTGGGCATCCTGCTGCTTGGACACTTAGGAAAGCAGAAGCATGTCATGAGGGAGCATAATGCTTTTCTGAACAAAAAAGTAATAAAATGAGGGCTAGTGATACTTGTAGACATTGAGCATACTGAGGGGTGGTTAGTGTGAGGAGCGCATTTTCATAATGCAGAGCACCATATGGGTGCTGCAATATTTTTCTTCTCATTAGCATTATTGTTGCAAAGTGTTCTGAATTTCTTGGATAAAAATGCAAGACATTACTACCTGCTGCTAAGGTTTAACACAGTGCTTTTCTCCAGCTGCCATTTTTCAAGTGAAAAGTGAAGTTAGAATAAAATAAGAATGAAATACAAAGAATCTTGGTCTCTGAGGGGAAGGCAGGTAGGTGGTAAGAAGAGAACTCTCATAATTACCATCTCCTGAAAAGGTCTACAGGCAAGGGCACTCGTTTTCTTTTCTGCTGAAAGTAAATGTTATAATAGATTCCTGCCTTCTGGAGACCAAAAACCCCTCCTCTCCAACAGTGTCTGAAAAACTAGCTAATGGGAAAACTTCCCACAAGCAGGCAGGTGTAACAATAGCAATAATCAAGTGGAGCAGCACATAGCACAAGAAACAAGGTAAAGGCAGGCAATCCCAGCTTGCTAAAAGGAAAGCTGATGAAAAACCAGTATAGATTCAGTGTGGGAAAAGCTGAGCAGAGCATGTCGCATGGGACAGATGCTGGAGTGGGGCCCAGCCAGGGGCTGCAGGCTGGGTAAGCTCCTACCTGTGGGCTCCACAGCTCCAGCTTCACTATGGCTGTGAGGTGCTTTCGTAGGCCTTCAGTGCTTACACGCTGTGCCAGGCTTGTTACCAGTTTAGAATACCTATTCGGCTTACTTCAAGCACAAGCAGTATTTTAGATCTCACTGGGAGCCATAAAACAAGCTCAGCCAAGGAGAAAAAGGAGGCAGATGAGGTCTGTGATATGTGAGAGCCCTGGGCCTGTGCTGCCTGAAAGCAGCTCTGCTCCAGCAGCCCAGTGCGGAGGCAAGGCTGTGTGGCTGATCTGAGCCTTGTGCTGCTCATGTTGCTGATCCCTGCTTCTCCAAGGGAAAACCTTCTGACACTTCCTCCGTCCTTCCTTTATACACTTATGGCATGAAAAATAAACACAGAGCATTATTTTTCAAACTACAGGCAATTCAGCAAATCCTCAAAGACTCTTAAACAGAAAGGAAAGTTTCACCCAATTTGTGGTTCATGACCAAACGTTAATGAGCTTTAATGAGGCACGGTGCCTGTGTGGACAGCAGCAATGTGCTCAGCTTGCACAGTCAAAACACTGGCTTGTACACACACAGAGATCTTGTTTTCTCTGCTTTTCATCTGGCATTGCCATTGTGGTGAGTCTCTGGCTGTGCATTAGAAAACTGAGGCTGGCTATAGAGATGAAAGTGTTAACATAGGCAGGAAGGTTAGGGTTAGGATTAGGTTTAGGGTTAGTGTTAGGGTTAGGGTTATTGACTCTAAAATGATGCTTCAAGTTTCAAGTTGCCTCTGAAATTCACTTTTCCTTTTACCAGCTAAACTCTCTCCAGCTACTCCATATCTGTAAGAAGGAGCCATCAAAGAGACAGCAGCCTCAGACTTGCAGACCAGAGGAGGAAAAGGAAGATGGAAAAATGAGTGGGAAAGAAACAGTCCCTCCAGCCCCAGGGGAAAGTCATGATGGCTGAACTGTCTCTGCTCCCCAGTGCTCTGCTGGGGAATAACAGTGCCAGGATGGAATCTGCCTTTAGGGAGGAATGTGTGCATGGGAGGATGGATTATATAGGAGATAAGAGATAGTTTAGCAGTTCCTAACTCTTTCCCTTTGGAATGCAGTGTAGGTCTGATAGGAGATGGTTACCAATGGGTCCCAGGTCAGGTAGCTCAAAGTGTGCCCCGTACACCTCCAGGACGTAGCCTCTGGTCTCTCCAAACACCTCCACACTAAAACGCATTCCTTGCTGGAAAATAAAGGAAGAAATCAGGATCATCCCTGTACTTGGCTAACAAACCAAAAGCAACTTAATGCAGGACATGCCAGACACGCTGTAGCTTTGGCTGCCTCTAGCAGGCCCTCAGATTGCCCCAGGCCTACACATGGCTGTGTGACCTTCTGTGGCCACGCATCCCAATGTGTGAGGTGCTGCTCTTTGAATTGGGTGCCACTGCATTCTCCACCTGCAATGGGTGCCATCTGGGGCTCTGCTACATGATGGAATTGGCTTCTGCTGGGTTCCCATGGTCCCTCTAGCACCACAGAGCTCAGCATAAACCACACAGAGCTCAGGTTTTTGCTGTTTGCTCCAACAACAGGCCCTCCAGCTAACCACAGCTCTTACCTGGATAACACAGATTTCATTGGGCTCCACTAGCATCTTCCCAAACTCAGTTGTGATGAGCAGTTTTCCTTGCTGGGGCACTGTGGAAATAAAATGGAGGTAGAAGAGATGAAGGAGCAAGCTGTCAGTCACTACGTGTGATGTCTTCCTCTCAGTCCCCTTAGAAGGGGACAATTACATTAGCTAGGTAGTAACTTATTCTTCCTGCTTTCTGAGAGCGTAAGTAAGTGCTTCACTAATGTCTGCAGTACTTTCTTTGTCTTTTTGGCACCAAATTGCTCACATTTTGACATGGAAATCTGACAGATTTACAAAGCCTGCCCTTTTACCTCAATTACTAAAGGAGGTGGATGTGAATACTATTTTATGAGAGATGTGTTCCCACTGGTGAAGCATTTCTGTCCCATGGCTGAAAAAGATGCAGGTAAATATCAGGCTCTTGGTCTTACGATGCTGTACAGAGTATTTTTCTGCACGCACATTCTTCATGTTGCCAAGTCAGCTCTCATCATGGCAGTCTGCTTTCCTGAGGCTGGCAGAGTGTGGGAGCTAAGCTACCATGCCAAATCATCTTGGACTAAAGCAGTAAAGGCAATTCGCTATAAGCTGTTCAGAAATTCTAGGGCTTATGTTTTCCAGAAAACCTCCAGTGTGCCTGCTAGGGATCTGGGAAAGGATCTCTGAGAGCCAGGCTGGGGAAGCTGGGTCGCTGCTCAAAAGCAACAATGAGTTTTGGCATGAGTGTGCTCCCTCTGTGCTGCTGGGTAGTGATGGGACAAGCCTGACAGCCCAGCCTTTGCCAAACCACCACATCTGGATGGCATGTGAGTGAAGTCATCCCTCCTCAAGTCTTTGCAGATGGCTGCCAGGCTCTGGCTCTGAAGGAGGAAATAAACAAGCAGGTGGCAACCTAGATAGGTCCTGCAGGAGAAAGGTGAAGCCAATGCATCAACTCACCAATCAGGAAGTCACCATCTGAATTATAAAGGCATCTAAAGGAAAAGGAGAACAGGAAGGTCAAGGCTTCACTTGTACGTATGCTCCTACGGAATCACAGCACAGCTGGAGCTGGACCTCTGGAGGTTACCTGGCCAACCTCTGCTCAAGCAGGGTCACCCAGAGCAGAGTGCCCAGGACCAGGACCAGACCATGACCGTAGCAGCAGAGTTTTGAGCTGGGAGACCAACAGAAATGCAGCAAATGGGTCGGGGAAGGTGACACACGGGCAGGTGCAGGTTTGATGTGTACAGCCTGCTAGCAGGTTCTTTTCCCACTTCGATGCTGTCTCTGTGGCCTCGGATAAATCAGCCTTTGGCAATGGGTAGCGATGCCCTCCAGAGGCTGTATTCACCTCCGAGGAGCTTTGGTCCCTGGTACAAGAGCCTCTGGGCCCATCACATTTCCTTTGCCTGCATCCCCGCATACATCTCCCTCATTCAGCCTCCGACAACCAGTCCCTGACCTGTCAAGCATGGAGGTGTTGCAGACGAAGATGTGGATGGCGATGCCGTTGCGTCCTCGTGGCTCTCCAGCACCACACAGAGTGTGCAGACCCTGCAGGCAGACCCCAGGCCTTGGGAGTGAGTGTCAGGCAGTCAGGATGTGCAGCCCCATCCTGCTTCATCCCATCCCTTGGCTGTGTATCAGCCAACTGCCTTGCCACTTTTTGCTTTAGCCAATTATGCAGTTGGCTTTTCTTTGAAATCCTAAGCCCTGGCACCCCAACTTACGCTCACAAAGTCCAGCTTGTTCTGGGAGGCTTTCGGTATTTCAAAGGGCTTCCATCTCATCTAAGTTGCAGCAAACAGAAAGCAAAAAGAGAACAAGGTGGTTATAAAGTAAATAATGGCAATTCAAAAGGAAGCAGCCCGCTCCCCCTCCCTATTGCCCTCTACTTGCTGAGATAGCTTCTGTTTCCTCTTTGCCTTGCTTAATTTGGTCTGCAGGTTTCTTTTGATTTATGGAGCTCTTTCCCTTTGAGTCATAATTTTGTAAAGTAATTGGCTGGCCTGTCTGAGAGCCGAGGTTGGTGTTTTTTGTTTTTTGTTTCGTTTTTTTTTTTAAATCCTATTTAAAATCTGTCTGTTCCCCTATTACTAACAATAGTGCTGAGAGCAGGGAATTTCCTCCCAAGGCCTAGCCGGACCCCTAGGCAGAAGGTGCCAGAGGAGTTCCCTGTGTGCTTGTTACTACTGAAGAGCATCATTAGGGTCTCACTGTATCTCTTCAGAATCAAGTGCCACAGCTATGAGCCCATTGCAGGAGGAATTTTGGTACAAATTCACCCAAGCACCTGAAATCTGCAGGATAGAAATGGCTGATGGCCAGATCCTGCTGGCTCTGGCCATCAGAAATGTCTCCTGCACAGATATGCTGTGCCTCAGATGAAATGCTAGTAGCTCTGGGCATCCAGAGGTGAGCATTTCTTTACTATGAGAGTGGTGAGGTGCTGGAACAGGCTGCCCAGAGAGGTTGTGGATGCCCCATCCCTGGAGGTGTTCAAGGCCAGGTTGGATGGGGCCCTGGCAGCCTGGTCTGGTATTAAATGGGGAGGTTGGTGGCCCTGCCTGTGGCAGAGGGGTTGGAGGTTTGTGATCCTTGAGGTCCCTTCCAACCCTGGCCATTCTGTGATTCTGTGATCCGGGAGGATGGTAGGATTGGGCAGCCACTGATAGCACGGACACATGGATAGACAGACAGCAAGAGGAGACACAGAAGGCATCAGGGATAGAGTGGGGAAAAGAAGAGAAAAAATTCAGGTTACGAAAGTGGTCTAAAAGGAAGTAAACAGTGGGAGAAGAAAAGCAGAGATCAGCTTGCAATCCAGCCCACAGATCATCATTGAGGATGGTGCTTCTCCTCCCAAATTTTTGCAAGCTGCTAGGCCACTGACTGGTTCCATGTGCTGTCTACCCAGAGGGCCCTTGTTGAGTTTGCACTTTACCACTGTAAGTACAGCAGAACTGGGGTGCCGAGTCAGACATCCACATGGGTGCTTAAAACAGGGAAGCTACCACTGGTGTTTCATTTTCTCCCTGCCCAGAAATCGTGGCTTCCTTTGGCACCTCCTTTGACTCTGGAGAGCTTTCTTCTGCATCAGCATTCCTTGCAATGGATGCCATGCCTTATTTTTTCACCCTCTCTGTCCCCGTCTATGTTTTGTGTACAGTGTGCTTTTTATAACTCTGCCATTGTCTTTGGGCAGCATTCAAGGCAAAGGGCTTTTTTTTTCTTCCCATTGACTTCAATGAGCTGTGCATGAGATGGCTTCACATGTTAATCCCTTCAGATGGATGGCAGTGGGGAAAGCTGTGGTGTGAACAAGGTGAAGTGCAGAATGCCATGGGGAGCTGGGGATGGGCTGGGAGCCTGCATGGCTGCAGTTGAGCTGTGTTTGGGAAGGAAAACTACAGGAACCTATACAGCAGCCTTTCACCTCTGCTTGGTCAGTGGCTGGAAAACACGTTCCCACAGAACCAGGGAAGTATTTAGACAAATGAGGAGGCAACCGGGAGGCTGCAGGATGGCTAACGATGATGCATCAGAAGAGAGAGGAGTAGAAATCAATGAGCACGAGGTTATGTCAAGAGGAGCACAGCAGGAGGAGAGAGGCAGATTAGCAGAACTAAATGTCCTGGGGCTGGCAGGAAAGAAATAATGATTAAAGATGATAGCAAGGCCGTAACAGAGGGAAACAAATGCTGTGCCTCTCCAGAATGGAGTTTGATTTCCCAAGAGGGCTGCAGAGGAGCAGGCTGGCAGCCAGCAGCCTCCTGACGGGAGGTGATGGCAGTGTAGGCCTCAGCTTGAGCCTCTGATGCAGGAGGATGAAGGAGCAGCCTGCATCCTGCAATCCCGCATCATACCAAGGGCTGTCCCCTCCCTGGCTGGAGGACAAGGTTACCTGGTTGGGGTCAGGCTCTATCTCATCCCAGTTGTGTGTCAGATGGCCCTCGTGCAGAGGCTGGAAGGGCTTGTGGCAGACAGAGGGCAGGATCCGATAGAGCCAGCTGTGGAGAGGGACATGGATGGGATGAGGCTGGGGAAGTGGTGAGGTACTCTGCACAGATGAACCCCAGTGGGCAGGAGGAATATTTGTGGCCACTGGAGCAAGTGGTACATTAAATATTGAATGTTGTGTCACAGTCAGAGACTTCCAGAGAGGTAGGGGGAGTCTAGAGGGATTTTATTGTATCTGTGGCTGAAATACAGCTATTTCTCAGGTGGGAACAAAGGCTACATAAAGACTGAAGTTCAGGCAGCACAAGGATGAGCATAGTACCTAACTAAAAGACCAGAGGAGCTTCAGGAGCTAAAAGATCACAGCCAACACCTGAATTTGGGTGGATTGCTGAAAGTAGCATCCCGTATGGCTGCATATACCCATAGGGTCAAAGTTTTATGGGAGATGAGGTCTCCTAGCACCACAGAAAGTCCCCCATGCCTCCATCACTGTCAGAATATTATTTGGAGGTCTCTTCCTGATCACTGTGAGAGCTGCCAGCCCCCTACCTAGTGTGATTCCACTGCCCAGTTGGATGCTGAACATTTTATGCCACCATCTTTGGAGGTTCAGCAAAGTGGTGGGCTCACCATGTCATCCTACACCACTGGAGCAGGGCAAGCTCTTCTGATAGAGGGCAATGGCAGCCCAGGAATGGACATCTCAGAAGACCCTCAAAAACACACGAGTCTGACACTTGGTTTGTCCAAAGCAAAGGTTTCTCAATCCAGGGCTGATGTCAGTGTCCTGCCCCTATGTCCCAGGACATCCAAGGGCACCTGCGTGTGTCCTGATATGTCCCCACACGTGCCACCATCGTACCTCCTCCTGTTGGTGGCCCGGGGACAGGTGAAGGCTGAGCCCGAGAGCTGCTCCGCGTAGAGGCCGTAGGGGCAGACCTGCGGGTTGTTCTGCAGCAGGGAGAAAGAGGAACCACCAGTGAAGGATGTGAGGCATTCGCAACCCTGTTCAGTCTGTGTACAGCCCAGGCAGCCCTATATCCCCACTGTCAGGATGCTGGTTGCCTAATATGTACCAGCCCAACCTAAAATCCATTCCTCTGCAGCATCACCTGGAAGCTCTCACAGCCATCAGGAGCTGCTAGCACCAGAATGCAGTGAGAGCACCACAGTAAAGAGTGTTATTCCCAGCACTTACAGACTGTACATTATTACAATTACAGTTTCTCTCTGTATCTCTTCTTTTTTTTTTTTCTTTCTTTCTTTTTTTTTTTTTTTTTGGAAGCCATACACTGTTCACTGCTTCCTTCCCTTCTGCAGGTTCTCGGTGAGAATCCTGTCCCTGCCATGCTGGGTCACCCTGCAGTATCACCTGCCAGGGAAGAATCAGTAAGAGGAAAAGCTCCCATCACATATCTCCTAGCCTCCAAACTCTGTCTTGTTGGCAAAGGTATGCAGTGGAGCAGGGGGATCAATAGCCTTTGTCATTTTTATCTGAGCCAGCATGACTGCAGATGCTGGTCTTACAAATACTGCAGTGAAGAAAGGATCCACCCTTGGGACTGAAGATTTTCCATCTACTTCACAGTCAGATTTTCTATTAACTCTTTCCATACTGAGCCCAAACTCTGTACTGATGAGGGCTCTTTGGTGGAGTACTTCAGCAAAGCCAGCCTGGAAATTCCTGCTGCCATAAGGAGACCCACAGAAAAGAGAGAAAGGACTGAGTGCATAGCACCAAATGAAAAGTGAATCCATTAAAACAATCCAACATGGTGCATTTTAATCGAGTGTATTCTGAAGTTGTTTATTTCTAACCACAAATCTGCCCACTTACAACAGCTCATGGAGGGCAGCTGCCATCCTGCCAAAGGCCAGTAAACCCATTGAATTAAATCCATTCCTGCTGAGATCCACAGCAGTGTGCACTGTCCCCAGGACAAGCCTCAGACTTCTGCTCTGACTCAGCTCCCATCAGTTCCCTCCTACTCAGCATGCCCAAGCCACTTCCATTCCCAAATCCTTTTGGAAAAGCTGCTCCTGAGCAGAGGAAAGCCAGGCGAGTTGCAGCTCCCAGGCAAAACTTGGAATCTCACAAGTAACTTTAACGTAGAAGGCATAACGGGAAGTATTTAATTATGATTTTTGCCAGCATCTTACTGTTCTCATCTTGCACAAGGGAGGCTCCTGAAGACTTTCATTGTGGAAGAGAGAAAGAAAACGCATTAATTTAGAAGGAAGCCCAGGGAACAGATACTCATTCTGCTCCATGTCTTTTTAATTAAGCATTTCCACAAACTCAAACTCTGTACCTGTCCCTCTGGTAGAGCTCCTGGACAGCGTGGGTCCTCAGAAGCATGCTCGTTTCCAAATCCTGACATGTACTGTAAAGTAAATCACACAATTCTTCAGTGTTTTGAAAACACAAGTGAAACCTCCCCAGACAACTCACCCCTCCCTTCCCCGTGCTTTTTTTCCACAATCTTTGCATGCACTGAGACTTTCCCCAAGTGGCCTGCTTGCTTGCTTCCATGCACCATCTTCCCATCTCCAAAGTCAGTTTCACTAGCCAACCCTGTGGTGGGCTGAGAAGCACAATCAGAACCTGCTCTTCTGTTAGACCTGCATGTACATTTTGTTGACATCCTGTGCCAGGGATTGAGACTGGGGGTCATTTGGTTGCATGGTTCTCATGACACGTCTCCATGGCCGTCACAAGAAAAGTCAGGACTTAGCTGGGATGAGGAAGGAAATGAGGCTCTGCTGGGACTTCAGCATCTCACTGATTTGCCCTAAATGAGTGTAACCCAGAGGGGTGTGAGCTGCCTACCATGGCAGCAAGCAAGATTTAAGGTGACCATCTAGGGCGCTAGGGCAGTGTAAGGTGAGGGACCCATCCAACATGTTCTGTGTGAGGGCACAGTGGAGGGCTGCAGGACCTCAGGGGAGGCAGCCCCTCTGATCCTACAGAACGAAGCAGCCCCACTGCACCCCGCATGAATGCAGAGGTATTTTGGCTGCGATCAATGGCTCAGCCTCGTGGCCCAGCAACAGAGTTAAATATTCATGCTGCCTGCTGTCCCTCTCCGTTCAGGCGCTCGTGATACTGCTGGGAGGCAGCTTGTTCACTCAGACCTCCCAGCTTCACATCGACCTTTTGAAAATTCTTTACTTTCAGTGTGGAAACCACTCCCCTGGCACAAAACTTGCTGCAGCCCCATCTTCTAGGGTAGGCAGGAAGGCATTTAGCTCGAGTTGGAGCAAGGTGCTTGCCCAGCTGTCCAACTTGGACAGAACAGTGCTGCCTTTGCCTTGAGCAGAGCCGGATTGTTTGTTACTGCGGTGCCTGGATTTCTTCCCCCCATTCTCAGATTTTGCTGAAAAAACATGAGTTTTTCTCAGGTGCCTGTCAGCCATTTGTGAAAAAAAGAGTCCCTTCCCAGAGGGATTCTTGCTGGCCAGAAGCCCTGCCTCACCCGAACCTGCTTTCTGTAGGACTGGGGAGGATGGATCTCTCCTTACCCACTCTGCTCTCCACCTGCTTCTGCACGAAGCACATTGATATGCAAAGCAGCAGGTCACCTAACCACCCTTGGCAAAGGTATTGTGCCGGAGCATTTCTGCCTTTCTTTTCTTTTTTCCCCTCCTTCTGAAAGGAAATGCAGCACTACCTGCTGGAACTGCAGCAGTTCCAGAGTGAACCCACATCTCCCCACTGCATTCTCCTTCACCAGCTGCAAAGGATGGAGGCAGGAGGGAGCCCTGGCTGGCAGGCCAGCCTCTGCAAACAGGGAAAGAAAGGGGCAGGTAAGGATGCTCAGCATATGGAGGGTTAATGAAACTGCTTTGCAGAACATCACCCCTGTCTGCAAAATACTCAGGCTTAAAGCTGGTGGAGAGTTCTTTTTTTGGCGAATGCAGGGAGAAGCTGCTGCATCATTGTTCAGGCAAATCAGTTTTTCTCTGCTAGGGGAAAAAAAAATAAATCCTCAGGTAACTGTATTGAGGGCTAAAAAAAAGATACTTCCCTCTGGCGGGCAGGACTGCAGCTGTGGGAGTCAGACGATGTCCTGATGGTGATTTATTGTCCTGTGGTTTCATTGCTCCGGGTTTTACCTGGCTGTTTGGTGCGACTTTTCTCATTCACTCACTTTCTTTTGTCATTCCGCTGGGGAGGGTTGCCTCCTCGCCTTTCCTTAAGGGGTCAGCATAGAACACGATGTGGTTTGCCAAAAAAATCCTGCACAAGCTCCCACGTGTAAATGCGTGGCTGGGGAATTAAAGCTTGCTATTTGCATGCTCATATTCTGGCTGGGGAGTAGAGAATTTGTTTATTTATTTATCTTCCTTTTGTGATTTTATTTGCCTGTTAGTTTATTTTCTAAGTAAACCAGTGCTGATGGATAATTAAAACGTCATGGAGCTCAGATGCTTTGCAGCAAGAGGAAACAGCTGCTCAGGTCCAGCTTTGAGCTTGGCTCAGAAAGGCTGAAACCCCTCCTAATGAATGGCTTTCCTTTTCTGTTGTCTCCAGAGTGCAGCCACAGTTGTTAGGCTGGCTGTTCTCATCCCCTGCAGGCCACAGGGGCAATGGGGTGTTTTGGGGCATTGCAACCCTTCTTCCACATGATCAGCTGTCCTTCATGGCAAAGCCTTCTTCCCCATGGCCAAACCTTCTTCTCCATTACCTCTCCTTCATCTCCACGACCACTTTTTATTCTCCACAACCAACCCTTCTTCATGACCAACCCTTCTCCATGACACATCACAGGGCAGTGACCTGCTTCTCAGTCCCTGCTCCTCCACCATGGCTCCTAGCTGATCAGGGACTTTTTTAGTAATTGGGCAGGTGAGTTCTCCGTGAAACAAGAAGTTCTCTGTGGTCCTTTGCTTTCTCTTCTGCATTCAATTATTGTCATTATTTTGTTCGTGATCCCATAGATTTTTATGTAAGCAGGAGTATGTCTGATTCCACCTTGTTTTTGTTTTGTTGCTTTTCAGTAAAATAGGAGAGATGAAAGCGCAGCACAGCATTAAAAATTCAGCAAAGCGCATTGATTGCACTAACTGGGATGCAAAGCAGAGAGCTCGCAATGGGTGTCACGCTCTGACCTATAAACCATAACCTTTTGTTCACCAGATTAGACAGCAGGGATGGGAAAAAAATGCATTTGAAGTCTGAACACATGGGCTGCAAGATAATTAAGGCCCTTCTTCAAACGCTGCATAATACACTTCCCTATCTGCTGCTGCCGCAGGATGCACGAAAGGAACATTCGTCTCTGCACCAACAGCTCACTGCCTTGTCCCAGCTCAGAGGGGCCAACACTGGCACGCTTAAGGCAAACTTAGAGGAAGATGAATGAAAATAGGGGCAGTAGTGGGGTGAAAATAAATGGGCTTCCTAGCAGTGCCAGCCCCTGTGTCTGGGGAGGAACACGGTGGTCCTGGATGAGATGTCACCCACTGTAACGATGACCTGGTCCCCTACACCACAAAAGTTCTGGCAAAATTTGAGATTGCAGTCCTATAAATGAACAATAGAACAACATCCTGCCCTCCTTGCAATTCACTCTGTGCTGGGAGAGGAGGGCATGGCTTGTCAGGAGAAACGGGCACTCAATTTTCCATTTACACTGAGGCATTGACCAAGGCTGGAGCTTCCCTAGGCCACTGGAGAAGATTGCACCAAGGTTGCAACAGCAGGGCAGATGTTAGTGGCTAGATTTCATAGGCTGAGGGGGAAACACCTCCTGGCAGCTGGGCAAGAGGGAAAGGGGAAAAAAAAATAAGGTAATGCAGAGGTCCAGAACAAGCCTAGCCATATCAAGAATGATTTCCAAAGGAGAAGAAAGTGATAACAGCCCATTTAGATGAAAAATGGCAAAATCCTATATCTTGAGAGTTCTTTTAAACACACCTTAAAACACAAAAGGGAGACAAATTGCAACTAAATGGGATATTACCATAAACCTATCACCAGACTGCAACTGCACAGCTCACTATCCTGCACCTCACTTCCACCAGCCCCTCTGGAGGGATCAGTCGGGTAGGCTTGGTGCCAAGGGAAGGGATGACAAGGGCAGGCAGCCTCTCAGTCCCAGCACTCACAGTCTCTCACCTTCAGGCTTGTCATTGTCCTCTTGGTCTTCCTCCTTTGTCAGCAGATTGAAACTCCAAGCAGTTTAAATAGCCAACACAGCTTGAAGTGTTTTCAGAAGTGTGTGTGTGAGTGTCCAGCCAGGAGGGCTGCATCAATTCAGCTGAGCTGGTCACGGACTGGAAGTGAGAAAGTCCAAGAGAGCTCTGGAATTGTTTGCTCAGCCCAGTCTATGTTTAATCAAACACCAGCCTTCCCCCTGGGCCAGTCCTGGGAAGGGTTTGGAAATAAGAGATGGAGGTGAGGGGGACACTGTCACTGCTGCTTTTTCTCATCAGCTTTTAAACAAGGGCTTGTAGTTCCTACACATGGGTGAGAAGACAAGACAAGGCATTTAAGAGCAAAGAAAAGTCATTTTTGCAACTTATTTATGAGCCTCTACTATAAATCACACCCCTAGCAATTTTTGTGTACGGCCCTCTAAATGCATAAATACACATTTGCTCATTATGCCTCTGAGCCACATCGCATCTGGTCTTAGGGGACAGAAGGCATCATGTCCCCATGCTGGCGAAGTCAGTGATATTGGTGCAACACTGTGTGGCAACATTACACAGCAGTTCAGGGGCAGAGGCAGGGGATGGCTCTGTACTTTTAGAGCTGGTGAACAAAACTTACAAAACTCTGAAATATTAATATTTTGCAGGAAAGCTGTTGCCAAGGAAGGAGCAGAAGCAAGCAGGTGGCACAGAATACTAATGAAAGCAACTCTGCATTTCCAGAAGTTGCAGGAAAAACAAAAGACCAATTGATTTTATTTGATTTTTTTTCTTTTTTTTTACTTTGAATTCTCCTCTATCTTAAAAAAAAAAAAAAGAAAAAAAAAAAAGTAGCAATGTTTTTTTCCTTTCTGCTCTGCTGGGAGGCACACATCCAGATTTAGATATGACCCTGTGGTTAACGTGCTGTGAGAGGGAGAACTCCTAACAGCCTGCCTTCTCCAAAGACCTGCCACTTTTTAAGGTCTACAGAGAAAGGGAATGCCTTTGCTCAGTGCTAGTGCTGGGTAGATGCATTGCTCTAAAACAGCTCTTCTCCGTGGATGTGACAAAATGGCTCCAGCTCTGCTACCTGTTCTTCCAGTGACAGCACTGGCAAACTAGGCTGACTGCTATAAAAGAGTGAATGAGGCATGTGAAACAGTGTAGTCAGCTGGACTAAAGAGGTGATCATCCCTCTGCTCTGCTGAGGTCACACCTCAAGTGCTCTGTTCAGTTTTGGACCCCTTACTACAGGAAAGACATCGAGGCCCTGAGGTGTGTCCAGAGAAGGGCAATGGAGCTGGTGAGGGGTCTGGAGCACAAGTCTTACGAGAAGCAGCTGAGGGAATGGGGATTGTTCAGTCTGGAAAAGAGGAGGCTCAGGGGAAACTTTAATAGTCACTATAGTACCCTGAATGGAGGTTGTGGAGAGGTGAGGGTCAGCCTCTTCTCCCAGTTAACTAGGGATATGGGGAAAGGTAGTGGCCTTCAGTTGCATAGGAGAAGGTTCAGGTTGGATATTAGAGAAAAATTCTTCTCAGAAAGAATGGTGAGGCACTGGAACACACTGCCCATGGAAGTGGTGCAGTTCCATCCATGGAGTTGTTCAGTAATTGTAAATGTGGCACTGAGGGACATGGCTACTGGGCATGGTGAGGATGAATCGATGGTTGGACTTCATCTTAGAAGTATTTTCCAACCTTAATGACTCTATGATTTTATAAGTCTGTGATTACTGATAAGGGAGAGGTAGTTTGCCTTGGATATCCCTCTTAGGATGACACAATAATACTGGTCAGGAAGGACTTGAGAAAGTCACTACAGCAATATTCAGCTTAAATCAGTCAGTTTTGAGATCATACCAGTCTGCCTAAGGCTTTATGCGGTACTGTTTTGAAGACTTCTAAGGATGGAGAATGCACAGTCTCACCTGGCAGCTGTCCTCGTGGTCAAAACAAAGTTTGACTTCTATGCAGCTTGCTCCTCCCATGTTTGAGTTAGTGGTAGATGTCTTATCATGGACAACTGTGAAGAGGTAGGTGCTATCTATCTTCTTGGTATCCTCCCCACAGGTTTTGGTTCTTCCAAGGCTGCACCATTTACAGGCCAAACCAGCCAGTCCCTCATCAGAGGAGGGCTCCAACCTCTGAGCACTTTGGCTGGCCACCATTCAACTGACAGCCATTTGTCATTCCTATGTTGGTGAGGCCTAAAATTGGATACAGCACCTCCTCTGTCCTACAATTCTTGTCTTCCAAGAGCAGGAGCACCACAGCCAAAGCAGTCCACAGCACCTCACCAGCTCCTTGATCGCTTTTTTTTGTTTGTTTGTCCATGTGGCTGACAAGTTTTGAGGCAGTCTGTCTTCATTTTTTGCATGCTGTTTCACACGTGGCAAACACCAAGTGAACAGGAGCACAGCAAGCACAGATGCCTCTTGGGAGACGTGCAGTGAGGAAATTGCTTGGAAATGGAGATAGAGAGATGTGGTCAAAGACTTGTCTGGAAAGATCCAAGGCATTAATTGACAGCACTGTCTGCAGTTGGTGTCTCATAACCAGTAGAGACAATGAATGTTCTGGAGAGATGACTAAGAAAGGAAGCGTCCCATTCTTTCACAAACTGTGGGGATTTCTGTCTGTTTGAGATCAAGATTGGCCTACGGTCTCCAGCTTTCCTTGCTTAGACACTGCTGGGACTAAGTTTAGCTCTCCTGGCTTCATGAAGCTAGAGGTTATGCCACGAGTTACCAGGAACAGACTTGGCTACCCTGATTGTGCAGTGTAAGGCAGCAGTGCCTAGCTGATGTTTGCTCTAAAACAGATAGAAATTTATTCATATTACAATGTGGGCACACTGGGGACAAGTTCAACTGAGAATATCGACTGTTTTGAGTACTGTGTTCAGTTTTGGGAGTACTGTGTTCAGTTTTGGGCACCTTAGTACAGAAAGGACGTGTAGGTGCTGGAGCAGGTCCAGAGAACGGCAAGCAATGAGGCTCGTGAAGGGCTTGGAAAATCAGCCCTATGAGGAGAGGCTGAGGGAGCTGGGGCTGTTTAGTCTGGGAAACAGGAGGCTGAGGGGAGACCTTATTACTCTCTTCCAGTACCTGAAAGGTGCTTACAGTGAGAGCGGGGTTGGTCTCTTCTCACTTGTGACAGGTGACAGGATGAGGGGAAATGGCCTCAAGTTGCACCAGGGGAAGTTTAGGTTGGATATCAGGAAAAACTCCTTTACAGCAAGGGTTGTTAAGCACTGGAATAGGCTCCACAGGGAGGTGGTTGAGTCACCATCCCTGGATGTTTTTAAGAGCCATTTGGATGTGGTGCTCAGAGATATGATTTAGCAGAGGGTTGTCAGAGTTAGGGTAGTAAGGTTAGGCTGTGGTTGGACTTGATGATCCTTGAGATCCGTTCCAACCTGAGTAATTCTATGATTCTATGATTGTGTTTTGGCAGCACCTGAATGTCTGAACCACAGACCTGGACCCCCTTGTGCTAGACTCCAGAAGAACGTAGACATAACAATCTAGTTATAAGTTATAAAGTTATTAGCTGTCTTTAGTTCTCAGTTACTTATTGCCATCTTACATATGCCCAGGAAGGCTCTCCCTGTACACTTGCCTCTTCTAGCATTACCATAAGAAATCATGTCAGCACCAAGGAATTCTCTGCTTCAAGCAGAGCTGCAAATAATTTAGCTACCTCTGAACAGAGATTCATCATAGCCAAAGAAATAAAGTACTCGGCATCTGCCAGCTACTCTGGAGACTCCTCTCCTACCAGACAATATGTAAAGGTAGAGTTTATCTCACATTTTCTGACATTGAAGAATTACCTGTTTTGGAACACAAAGTTACAAAGTTTCAGGGCCTTCAGGATTCACTTCCCCTTTCTTGAGCCATGCAGTAGGACCTCATTCTCATTCTTTTTTGAAAACCTACATTTCATTTTGCTTAATAAGTTTTTATAGATCCTGCTCACTTGTCTTCTTCTGATGTGAACAGATGAAAATAAAGGCCTAGTTTTTATGTAGGATGCTCCAAAAGTAATGCCTCCCATTTATTTCAGTTAAAACTACAACAGGTACAAAGAGCACAATAACACTATTTGATAGAGCAAATTCTCAGCTACAAAACATTAGTTTTCAACGTAGTCACCACCACTAGCTATGCATTTTTGTCAGCAATGAACAAGAGCCTGCATGCCACACTTGTCAAAATCTTCATGGCCGCCTGGGACATGGCTTATCTTTCACGTCGCTTTTGACACCACTGACACCCACCACCACTGCCTCAATGTGCTCACATCCACTGTCTGGTCTCTGTAAATGTCCAGCAAGCATTGATGAATGCCAATGGATGCCATTTTTTCTGCATGGATGAATTCAATGACACACCTTTAATCCACCCACACTTCCATGTCAATGTCATTTTGTCGGATTGCCCCTCTGCTGCCGGTTGTCACAAAGCAACAAAATGGAAGGTTAAACCTTTACTGTCATACCAGCAACATCCACCTCTGATTTTGTGAGCTAGCAGAATAAAATAGGAAATGTTACTTTTGGACCATCCCTCCTAACTCTGGGCAGACCTACTTCCTACTTGTTTTCTTCTCTAACATAAGGAAATACATGGCGTAATCATTTTACTCACTTGACATGCTATACCAATGTTTCAAAGCTTATTAATCTGTCTACCCTCGCTTTTCCATTCTACTCAGGGAAAAACATAATGAGATGCTGCTGAACTAATGTTTCTGGCCTTTTTGATTTATTGATCTCCAAATTATACGAAATGCAGAAAATAAAGCTTTTTAACATATCTGTGGTGTTTCTGACCCAGCCTGTCCAACTTAGGAGGTAAATCGTAAATCCATAGACTATTCCCCATTGCCTTGTTGTCCTTCATGTGTCACACTGCAGTATGTTGCCGAGAGCTATTTGTGTTCTCTGGTGATGAAGGTATTCAAAACTCAATTGGACATAGTTCTGGGCAACTTGCTCCAGTTGTTTCTCCTTGAGCAGGGGTATCAGATGCTCTCAAGAGGTCTCTTCCAACATTAGTGATTCTGTGGTTCAGCTTTGCCAACTCCTTTAGTTACTTGGAGGGGCTCTAAAATATAGATCTTATGAAATATTAAGTACAGAGGTACTTTATTAATGTTATAG